CCTAACAGTCATCTGGGAAATCTGAGTTGGGACCAAAGGAAATATTTTGTCAAAGATTTATTGGGTTTGCTGTTTTTCTCCTTAGTGTTGTTTTTCATCTTACTTTTTCTTGCCCTAATTACAAAGAGCAATGCTACCAGTAGGAGTGCCGTAATAGACAAAACAACTTAATTGCCAATTACTCATCCACTTAGGCAAGGATTATAAAACCCTTTGCCAAAAACCCAAATTTAAATGCAAATCAAAAGGATGGTATATCAGGTGAGGCATTCACAGCAAGTTTGTTGTGTGTCTTGAGCACATCAAATTTTCACTTTTTCAAGTTTCTAGCATTCAAATACTGCACAGCTTAAATAAAATTACTTTTTCATTGCCACACTAAATGAAGAACATGAATGCTGAAAATCTGCCATAGGAAAGCCTCGCTTTAAAGCCTCGCTCATTTTCTGCCTTTTGCTATAAGGTGACCTAAGGCACCTATGTGCATACCCTTTAAACATACTTCCACCACTTTGCCCAGAAATATTCCAGATGTGAAGTTCCCAGTTAGAGTACAGGTCAAACCTGGGATAAAAGCTGGTCAGTTAACTTGTTTGGCTTTTTTATCCATCATGAAGCTGCATGCCATGCCACACAGGAGACAACAGGGACTCTTAGGATAAACACAGATATGGTGACAGGGCTTTTGTGTTAGCTGATAGGGTTCTTGGTTACACAGTAAAATGTGATTACTTAATGCTTTGATAGCAAAGGCACACAAAGTATTTTCTGTGTACATATATCTGATGGCTGTATATTACCATACACGAATTGATGGACAAGTAGAGTTTAGTTAAGCTAAGTTTAATTATTGCTTCTCATTATAATATTTCTGTTGCTTAATGCTTAGTCAGCCTTTAAGGTTCTGAGTTTGTAATGTTTCCTCTTGATATCTCACAGGCTGTTTTACATTTGAACTAAAACCTCAGCCAACTGTTCCCCAAAACAAGATTAAAGAAAGATTTCCCCCATGCAGGCACATTTATCCAGCCACTTTATTAAGAAGCCTAGCAAGTCCTGAGACATATTAGCTCCCTTATACTTGGAAATGGCTTTTGTCATTTTCTTAACTGTTCCCCTAAGACCACTCATATCTCCAGTCTCAGTCTTGAATTTATTTGCAGCCTCTTTTCAACTAAGGAGTCTTTTTACCCTTAGTCCTCTCCATTATCAGCAGGATGAGAAAAAAAGGATGACACTACCACTACTGTCAGCAGCACAGGAGGAAAAAAAAAAAAAATCAGGTAAGCACTCATTAACTAAACTGCAGGGAAGCCACATAACCCAATCAGTACAGGACATAGCTTGCTTAGGATAAACACGACTTATGCCCAAGCCCTACCTTGATAGCTAGGGAGTCAGAAGCCTAGCACATATGTGAGGGAATATGCCTAACAGATGCACAATAACTAATTGAAAGCTATCAGTTTGTATTGAGGCTAAGTTAAAGCACACACTTGGTGTGTTTTCTGTTATGTCATGATAGCATTCTCATCCTCTTGATGCAGTGTTACACAGAAAACAAGGATTTTAAAAACAGACCTTTGCAAGTTCCTGCAGTTTACCTGGTGCTTAGTACAAACACCTCTCTCACTCAAGAGATGACCCCTTCAGAGGAGTTCCCACCACCCCCAGCTGTTATCTAGCACTACCAAGAGGGGTGTTGGACTTACTATATGAATGGAATGAAGGCAATTCAAATCATGACTGCAGAAAGCAAGAAGTGTACACACTCCTTACCTTTGCTCAGAGACGTGTATTTAGTAGAGACGTAATGAGATTCTCATTAAATTCAGTGGGTCTTTGGGGCTCTTAACAGAAAGTGCTGCAGAAAAAGACTAATATAGCAAGAGCAACATTCTCTGTGATCACCAGTGCACACATAGCAACCAAGTGCAATTGTGTTCACAGTCTTGTGACAACAGGTAGCAAGCCTTTCTGATTGATCTTTTCTCCTTAGCTAAGAAGAACTGATCAGAACTGTCCACTGCTCCTGCAAGTCAAACATAACATGCTTGGTGCTACCTGAATATTCCCCTCACAACTTGCTCTATTTGCCACATTTTTGTTAAGACATTACTTGAACTTAGAAGAGGGAAATAAGTCCCTCAAACACACTGGTAGAGAAGCTTTTGATAAAATAAAACTATTTTAAGTCCTCCTGAGGTCTAAGCAGCTTCCCATCCATGACGGGAAATTGGCTACGGAACCCAGTAAAAGTAGCCTGAACCATTCTGAGCTCTTTCACTGGAAAGAGACTCCTGCGTACACCTAACAGTGAGTGTTTTGAATTAAGCTATACAAACAGATAAATACACACCTCTAGGCTTTTTGCAATACTATGTTGCTACTGTCAGGAGATGTGCCTCCTAAATAGCCAACTGTCAGGCACAGCAGCTGACTTGTAACATCCCCAGACCTTCGATATAGGCTGAATGGTAAGCACAAGGCTGAATTATGTCATCTTATGTGCTGGTTGAGGCCTATTCCTTGCTCCTTCAGCCTATCAAATTCCTCATTTCCCAGCTCATAACAGAGTGACTGTGTTGCAGTTGAAAGACAGAGGTCCCAGTTCTGCCTCACATTTGATTATGAAATTATGAACTGTGTCCAAAACATTGTGTTTGATGATGTGGGGCTTGACATACCAGCACAGAGCAATCTTCCCTATTTCTGAGCATACAGCTTACTGCAGTTGACAGTGTGCTTCCTAGATGTATTGAAGGCAGATTTCTCTTGCAGCCAAGTTTCACTGGTCCATGCAATGACATGGTACTCAAAGTGAAGCCTTTGGCCAGTAAAAAGGTTAACTACTCAGTTCAGTAGTCTAAGAAATGAAAAGCAATTTGTTCTACAAGTTTTTCAGCTGTCCATGTGCAATACTGCCTTTTCCTGATGAGTTTTTGTGCTGACACATTGTAGTAAAAAAACCTCAGGATCTGACTGACAGCTGACAAGTTCCTCTTCCTCTGGCAAACAACGTAAAAAGCAGTGTTAAGTCACAAACCCTTACTCTGTGCAAACAAATTAAGAGGTATAAGCTCAAAAATAGTGCTTGGGGCAGCTTTCTAAAGTGCTGTGTTGAATCCAAAGATACAAGCTTTTAAAACTAAACAGGATAGTGTTTATTATAAAACAAAAGCCCTTGGACAATAGAAGTTAGCCGCATTTATTAAATCAGCTCATACATGGCTTGTTGTAAGACACAGCTTGAAAAGATGCAAAAGGCACTTTTTTTTTTAAACGTATGTACTTTCCCATAAAATTAGTTTCTAGCTGGAATTTTAGAAGTGGAATGAAGCATCTTATCCTTCTCCACCTGCTTTATTCCCACCCAAGAACATGTGAGCTGCCAGTCAGCAGTCTGAACCAAAGCAATACTAATGCAAATAGCACATCATCTTGGTGTCCTGCCCCATATTATATCTGTACTTATTTTGAAAAACAAGAGCTGTAATTGATTTAAATCTCCTTTTGCATAGATGTGCTGTTGCATGATATAAACTAGATATGAAAGCACACATGTATTGGGAATATATTCCTTTCTTCCCTGTAGCTGAAAGACCTATCTAAATACAATACTCATGTAGGTGGTCTAATTAGTCTACCTGCAACAAACACATAGTTCATTTACAAATCTGCAGAACAGACAAGAATTGAAGTCATCCTACACCTTCTCAGTGCTAACAGTTGGTTTTCAATTAGCAAACCAACACGTACGTCTTATCAGTTACTGTAAATAGTCACTGATAGATTAAACACCTGAATCATTCAGTGACTTGCTCTAATCCTTTGAATCCATTTATTCCTTCAAACATCACACAGCAAATTGCCTCAGTGAAAATAGGTACAAGAAACCACCATCAGATATACCTAATCCAAGTTAATCATGCAGGTGATTGGAGCTCCCCCTTTGAGCTCTAAAACTGTTGATTATGTTTTGCAACTGTACTGAGGACTCCATCGGAATTAGCTTGAGCTCACAGACTGAGAGTCCTCTCTACCTCTTAAAATAATTCTATCTAAGAAGTGATAACTGAAACTGAAATATAACAATTGCTTCTGCTTCACAAAAGAATAAATTGTACCTGTAAAAAGGCAGAGTTAAAAAAAGATTCCCTCCCCCCGCCATAGACTGAGTTTTCCGTATCCTTTCGCACACTTGATGTTCACTCTGAATGCAGTTACACTGGTAGCACTAAGAGCAGTGCAGCATGGACAAGTGCAGGTAGAACAACCAGAAAACTTGCTCTAAAATACTATAGCAGGCATGCAGCAACTTCATTCACAGCAAAGTAATTGTACCTGATTCCTGTCATCAAGAGTGACTAGACTCAGCACAGCAATTGTGAGCTAGCAGCACTGACAATTGCCCTGTGAAATATTTTCAGCCCTTTAAAACTGTCATATATAGCCAGTCAGGGAAAATAACAGGTCCAGTTATACAAATGGCTTTAACTTCTGACCTTCTTCCCCAGGGGTGCTGTTAGTGGGAGCAGGCTTTTCTCCATAAAGCCCCAGAGCTGTGCACAAGGGTTAAGTGGCTGCCACATGTAGGTATACACTTCCAGCAGCAGCTACACAGATGCTCCCCCTGCCCAGCCATCCCTGCTGGGAGTGGTGTGGGCATCCCCCACCTCCCTTTTGAGACACAGAGCTGTTGGTGTCAGATATCCACTGTCAAGCTCTGTACTCCAGCGTCCCAGTGCTGACCAGTACAAACTGGTCAGGATGGCTGCATCACCCTCCCTGGCAACAACTGAGGCAGGCACCACCAGTAGCCCCTCGCAGCCCATGCCCTGTCCCCACCTCAGGCAGCGGCATCAGCGTTCCCCTACACACACGCACAAGACCTGTTGCTCCCACAGCGCTGGCAGCTCCACCTCGGCTCCCAGCTGAGCAGAGGGGAACATCCCAGCCCGGGTCCCAGCCAGCCCCCCCGCCCAGGATCCCCCACTTACAGCAGGGAAAGCTCCGCAGCAGCCACCAGTGCAGAGCTGCGAGGAGAAAGGCTGCAGCCTCACAGAAGAGAGGGAACAGCCCCGGCAGCGCCTGGCAGATGCAGGGAGGAGGCAGAGAGAGAGAAGGAGGGACTGGAGAGAACAGCCCAAAGCCAGCCTGCTGAGCCCTGGGGCCAGGGGGCTGCCACCTGCAGCCATCGCTACCCCGGGGCAGAGGGGGTGCCTGCTTGGCACGTCAGAGCTGTGCTTCTTTATAGAGGCTCCTCCTGTTTTTTTAGGCATCATTTCCCCTTGGAAAGCTCTTTAGCAGAGCTGGGGCTAACAATTTTCTCCCCAGGAGAGACCGAACTCTACCACCCCCAGCCATCACACCTGAGGGGGCAGCAGCAATCTCTGAGCCATCTCTGATGCACTGAGCACTCCTCAGCACAGCACCACACAGGCTCCTGTTCTACATGCTGAGCTCCAACACCTAGATCAACATCCCTCCCGAGATAAGGCAGGGTTAGCTTTTAAATCAAGAGTGGGAAATTGGGGGAAAGAATAACCTGCACTGTCCTGGTCAAACTAGTTGGTACACGGACTTTGGATTACAGTTTTTAGCTTTACTTCTTGCATTCCCTTCCCTGGGAAACTGAACTGCCCTTGAGTCCCATAGCCAAAGTGCCAGTACTTATCTCCCTGGGGCCACCACAGCTGCCTTCTTCCTTGGGAGTCCAAAGTAAGCCACAGGAAGGCCAAGGAGTGCTCTGATCTAGCACATAGAGCAAGAAATCCACCTCCAGGGTTCTGGCTTAGCCTTGGGGTAAAAGCCCTTACTCTGCTGTTAACTTTCAGGGGGTTCCTGGAGTGCCACACTATGGGGACAGGTAATAGAAAGGTGCCCTTTACACTGTACTCAGCTGAAGGGGATAATAGAAGCCTTGCCAGAAGTCTGGAAAATAAGGATCACTACTAAAATCCATTACCAAAATAAAAGCAGAACACTTCTGAGATCCATCACAACGACAAAAACTATCAGGCATGTTTTGAAATGAAAATGTCCCAGCCTTATTTACATAAGCTATCAGAAAGGAAATAAGTATTCAGTGACATACTAACATGTACTTAACTAACAGAGACAGAACACACCAAAACTGGTCTGCAAAATAACAAAAAATAAAGGAAGGCTAAATCTAAGGACAAAAAGAAAAGCAGTGCTTCCACCACCAGGGATAGCCCCAAAGCACCTGCACAAGGACTCAAGTCAGCCCAACAACATTGCTCAGACCAAGGCAGAAAAGAAGAACAGCACTACAACATCCCTGCTACTAGGGCAGAAGAGCACTCACAGCACACTCCCTACTACAGTAAGAAGCTAGACCCAACAGCCAAAGCTTAAATACAACACTGGGACCAATGGGGAGGTGTGTGTGGGCAGCGGCGGCCCCAGGTGAGGCCGTCAGGGTGAAGGCCCGGATCAGCAGCCACAACCCAGCAGCTCTGACATCTCCCTGGTGGCTTCCTGGCAGTGCATGGGTGACACGAGCTGGAAGCATGCTTGGGACCGAAGGATGAGGTGGAAACATCATCCCAGTTTAGGAAGGGTCAAAGCATGCTCTGTGCAGTGATGCACAGTGAAGGCGAGCAGCGAGAAACGCGTGTGTTAAATGTGCTGCTGACACCCTGCACACGGTGGTCTTTGTGATACACGCCATAAGATCTCTGTGGTGAGTTCAGTCCTCTTTTCTTTCCTGATGGTAGGAAAGCACAGGCTACAGACTGAATGCTCACCACCTGACTTGCTTGCTTTCCCTCAAGGCAATCAACAACAGTTGAAATGAGAGGGGACCATTTCAAGCAGTAAGAGGGGACAGCTGGTCAAGGAAGACCCTTTTTCAGCTTTCCCAGATGCCAGGCCAACCACAAGCTCCAGGCTGATGCAATTTGCAGCCAGTGACATAGCTGGCTGCAGCAGAAGTGAGAAGGTCTCTGAGAAGTTTGCCTGGTGATAGGAGCATCAGTCTCACACTCAGGTGTTTATGTTTTATTATACACCTCAGGATAGATACCTCGTGAGGCTTGTGACTTGAGGAGTCCCATCTAACCTGAGGAAGAAAATATTTCCCCTGAAATTTGAAAGACCTCTTTCAAAAGAAGCCTGTTCCACTAGGAAAAAATAGAAGCATCCCTCTCCAGCTGTAAGTGCTGTTTTGTGTGTGTGTGTAACTCAGATGTGCCACTCTCAGGTTGGTGTCCCGGGTGCTCACACGCGATGGTGTGAATGAATATTTGCTGTCTGTTCCTCAGAGTGGCTCACGAAGGGTTGATGCATTGCAGAGCTACCTTGTGATCTAATTTCTTCTCCTAATCTGAAAACCTTTGTGTTGTTAAGGGGAAGTTGCCATGCAGGACACAAAGTATGCTTGGGTTTGCAGTTACTGAGGTGGCTTTGTTTTTGCTGGTCCTGAAGCAGCCTGTGACATTGCTGTTGCATGGGATTTGGTTGCAGATGCTCTTGATATCCTTAGAGGATAACTGTCTTACCTTCTTGGGATATTATAGAGCAATGGTTCCCAAAATATATCCAGCTCAGGGTAAGTTTTTTTTTAATTTTTTTTTTCCAATACCTGTGTGTGTGTGTGCATCTGGAGTGCTTTTGGTCTGCCACCAGACCTATTAGAGGGGGTCGCCTGTCCCCACCAGCACAGTGTCCCAGGCATGTGTGCAGTCAGTGCGTGTTATGTGAGGGATGGCTGAGAGGATGGGATGTCACTGGCAGATGAAATAATAAAAATGGTTTCAAACCATTATAGCAGAGATTTGTGACTGCTTAGTCTGGGAGCTCATCGGGAAGATATGTCAGGAAGTAAGGAAGCTCAGGGATTACAAACCCACCAAAAGCAGGAGTGATTATTAACTCAGCAGGATCTTAGGACAACACGACAGGAAGTATTTCTGATAGAGGTGGTGGCTTTGAGAGTTCCCCAGGATATTAAAAAGGACTTGAGGCGGGATAGTGTGTATTACTCAAAACTCACACATCCAGGAAAGGTGAATTTAAAATCAAACTCACAGAGGTATTGCTGAAGGACTGAATGAGGACACTCTTTGTAGGAGAGAAACTGTAAAGAGCTCCCTGTTGTGCAGACTGTATGGCACGTGCCGAGGCACAATCCCAGTTTTCTGTGTTCTTCAGTTTCAGAAGTAAAGAGTGGGAAACACAGTGAAGATATTCACCTGCAAGAAAGTACATGTTGGGTATAAGCTGGCAATGAGCACATTTAGTAGGAAATTTTAAGTCTTTTCCATGGGAAAAACAGAAGCCAAAAGTACCCGAAGTGAGACTCTTGGGAAGCCGTCGTGGCATGGGGATATTTGGTGGGTGTCAGCAAACAGACTCTGACCTGTGCAGGTGAAAAAGAGCTCATAGTGGAAAGGTTTGTTTGAATGATATTTCAAAACCTGGAGTGGCCAGCTCTTAAACTCTGTATGGTCTCACTGCCCTTTCTCTCCATCTTTTATTAGATGAGAATTTGCAAGGAAACTCTAAGGGGGATGATGCGGTACATGTAGCAAAGTGAGTCCAGAAGTTCAGGCAGGCGCAGCAGTGCGTGTACATGTGTGTTCAGGATGTAAGATGTGGGGCTATTTCAGAACAGCCGAGTTCGATCTGAGAGCCTTTAGACCTTCAGCATTTTCCTTCATTACCCTGTTGTGATATTATGCTGGACGGCCTTGAAAAAAGGATTTGAGCTATAGGGATTTCAGTAGACAGTAGATTCAGCTACTGTCTCAGAGGCGTGCAGACCTGGATGCTTCTAAGCACGTGTCAACATGTAGCATTAAAAAAAGCAGGCAGGCTGTTAAGGTGTTAGGTGTTCCTTCATTCCTGCCTTTGTGTCTTGCAACAAAAGATGCTTTATTTGCTCATCAAGGCTTAGAGGGGAATGACCACATTGAGTTTCTACACATAACCCCACTTCAAGTAGATCAACACTAGTCTGTAGGTTGTACATCTTTCTCTTGTTTGCAGAATGGACGCATCCTTCTCTGAGGGATGTGTCTTGTTCTCCTTTAGTCAGTACAAAACTTAACGAAAATTCATAGCCAGAAATGGGCAGCACCTGGAGACCCTCCGAGGGGTGGGGACACCCTCTTGGGTTCCACCTGTGCTCTGTCAGTGGGCTGTTGGCAATCGCTGCTTGGCAGCTTCAGGTGGTGCCAATTAATTTGAGACCTGATTCCTGTCCCCCCTGCAGGAAGATGAGCAGAAGCAGCCAGGTCTGGAGCTCCCACAGGAGTTGCTGGAGTCCCCTGGGAGGAGCAGGAGGCCCTGGTGCTCCCAAGTGTTGAATGAAATGCCTTGGTGGTTACTTTTTCTTAACCTATTGCTTAGCCATGGTGTTTAAGTGGCTGTTTGCAGGTCCCCTGCTTGTTACTGACTGCCTACAGCTCAGGTGTAAAGTTGGAGCTGAGATTAAAGTTGGAGGCTTTGATCCTGAGTTGCATGCTGACTCTCAGCGCCTTTCTCTCCCTGCAGGAGATGCAGAGTGCTGCTGCTCCCCGTCTGTGTGTGTGACCCCGCTGCCTCTCAGCTGCTCGGTGTTCACCAGGAGCCCACAATGGTTGTGGTGCCCATGATGGCCATGGTGCTGCTGCTGTGTTGCCCAGCCACAGGCTGGCGCCAGCACAGCCCCAGGGCATAGCTGTATTGTGGGGCTGGGGCAGCCGCCCCTTTGGGGTCCACTGGTCTTCGGGTCCCCTGAGGCCCCAGAGGTGTCCCCAGCACAGCCCCTGCAGTGGGCCAGGCCCTGCTCAGTGCTCTCTTCACGTGCAGGTTTTGGCACAGATCCTCTCAGCTCCTGTGGGTAGATCACGAGGTGCTGCTTGGCTTGGGGGGGCTGGCAGCTCCCAGCAGAGCCCAGGAGCTCCTGTCCTTTGCAGCCTGCTACAGCCATGAAGATGCTGCAGAGGCCTTGTGCACCTTCCTGCCCAGCGTATGAGCCCCTCGTGCTGCTGCAATCTAGCCAGGGGCTCTTGGCTCGGCTCTGTGCTGCAGGAGGGCATGGAACGGGAGGGAAGGGGACCCTGTCCCTGGGCCTGGCCCCAGAACTTGAAGGTTTCCCTGGGGCTGGCACCTGCCTGGTGGAGAGGGGCCTGAGTACTGTCCCCCCAGCACTTTCTTTCGGGGTCTTCCTTCTCCCAGAACAAACACTGTGTTTGTTCCTTCTTCACAGCTTTCAGGGCTGGCTGTGGGGAGGACGGACACCCAGATGGCTGGGCCTCTTGTGGGCACTGCTCATTGCTGTTTTGTGCCGTTAACTTTGCTGATCAGATGGGTTTTTGCACCAGAATCCCCTCTCTTCGGCTCTTCTAAGTAAAACAGGGCTTTGCTGTTCCCCTGCTCTTGTCCCTCCCTCCTTTCTCGTGTGTGGTGTGCTGCAGGGCTGTGGGGCAGGAGCTTCTTCCTCAGAGGCTGCAGGGAGCACGGCTTCTGCCCTGAGCATCTCCAGCTCCAGGTAATGACAGTCCATGCTTGTGGAAGCGCTCTGGGCTGTAGACAAGGTCGTAAATCAATTGCTGTCATAACAAAAATATTAATATTGAATGTCCTAGTTGTGCACTGTATGGATATTGACAAATAAATTTGTGTTTATTGATCAGCTCACCCTGGGCAACTGCAGCTCACTGTGCCTCTGGTTCCTAGACAGCTCCAGCCCTGGACCCCCAGCTCATGGAAGTCTCCAGCCCTGGGTGTCTCCTGGATGTCTCCAGGTAATTACAGCTTGTGCTTGTTACAACAGCCTGGGCTTTAGGCCAGTTTGTTAATCAATCAGTAATGCAAGTGTGAGAATTTAATTTTATGGTGGTACGCTGCCTAGGTATTGACTAATTGGTTTTAATTGTATTTATTGGTTAATTAGCCCTGGACATATCTGTCTCCCCGTACCTCCCCCTTGTGGATGGCTCCAGCTTGTTAGCAGCTCCAGCAGGCTTTCTGCTGCAGATAAATAAACACAGCTCATGCTCGTTAGCCCAATCTGGGCTTTAGATGAGGTCGTATATCAATCACTTTTGTAACTTGAATATTAATATTGAATGGTGCAGTTGTGCTTTGTACAGACATGGATTAACCTAGTTTGTATTGATCTGTTAGTCCTGGACACGGCTACAGTTGGTGGACATGTCCAGCCCTTGATGTGTTCAGTTTGCGCTTGTTGCAACAAGGGCTTTAGACAAGGTTGTAAATCAATCACTGTCACAGCTTTAACACTGCACGTGTTGTGTTTGTATGGTGTAAAGTACAGGCTTTGGTACACGGTTTGTGTTTTTTCTTCAATGAGCTTTTTGTGTCTACAGGTCATGGATGGCTCCAGCCCTGGTTGTCTCCCAGATATTTTCAGCTTGTTCCAGGTTCCAGCTCGATATCTTCTGGCTGTCTCCAGCTTGTTGCTATTTCCAGCCCCATGTCTCTTGGATCTTTCCAGCCCTTGAAGTCTCCTGGCTATCTCCAGCTTTCTTCTGGGTCAAGCTCTTTATAACTTGTGCTTGTTTATTATTATTATTTTTTTAAGTGCTCTTTTGACAAAGCTATAAATCAACCAGTCATAATTTGAATACTAATATGAACTGTCATAGTTTTCCAGAAATCGCCTAAATATTGCACAATTAAGGGGGTAACCGTTCTGCATGGGGTACAATGAATGAGCAGTGGAAAGGGAAAAGCACTATTTTGCTCAGAGATGATTTTGAACACTTTGTTCGGCCTGGTGCATGCTAGCATCCCAGACTTTGGGGACTGCCACGACTGGACCCCCCCTCCATACATCCAGCCCACCCCCCTCCCACGTCCCCTCCAACCCACCCTCACAGCCCCCCAGCCCATGGGGTACAAGGTTTGCCCCAGAAACAGCCGACATGGTCTCCCTTCTTGAGCCCAACCACACAGAAACTGGTCCATGCTGCACACCCCAAACCAAGTGACCCAGTCCTCCATCTCTGAGCCCCACAACCAGCCAAATGAGGCTATTCTGAGCCCCCCAGCCATGGCACTGGGTCTGTGTATTGGCAACACAGAGGTGGGCCTGTGGCAAAGGCTGGCACACACCCAGCACCGTGCCTCTAAGCCCCCGACCAGCCCAATGGGCCCTGTCCCCACCCCACACACGGGACTCTGGCTCAGTGATGTAGGCACCCGGGGAGCTGTGGGGGCCCCACACCCCGGTTCCCACCTGCACACATCTGCCCCACCCGCATGGCTGGCCCCAGAACAGCTGACATGGGCTCCAGCCCTAAGCCCAACCTACAGCAGCTGTGCTCTGTGCCCAGCCCCAAACACACAGCTTGGTCGGTTTCTCTGAGCACCAAAACAACCAGAATGGACCTGGTTCTGAATCCCCAAAATGTGGGATTTGGTCTTCGTTCTCAATACCACACAGCACCACACTGAGCCTGTTACTTGGTCTCCATTTTGAGTCAAAAAATGAGCCTGGTTTGAAGCCCCTAAAAGACAGTACTTAGTTTTCAAATTTGATCCCCAAAACAGGCCAAATGAGCCTGGTTCTGAGTCCCCAAAATGTAGCATTTAGTTTTCATTTTCAAGTTCCCATTGAGCCTGTTACAAAGGCTGAAGGTTGCACAACTGGTCTCCACTTTGAGCCAACAAATGATCCTGTTTTGAAGCTCCCAACAAATAGGACTTAGTCTCCATTTCTGAGCCCCCAAGAAGTAGGACTTAGTCTTTTTTTTTTTTTTTTTTTTTTTTTAAGTCCCCTGCAGCAGCTCTCTGAGCCTATTATAAAGGCTGCAGAATGCATGACTTAGTCTCCATTTTGAACCACCAAGTGAGTCTGGTTTGAAGCCTCCAACATATCGGACTTAGTCTTCATTTCTGAGCCTCAAAACTGGCCAAATGAGCCTAGTTCTGAGTCCCAGGATAGGAGGACTTAGTCACTTTTTTCAAGGCCACACCCGCCACCCCACCCTCCCATCCCCCACTATGAGCCTGTTATAAAGGATGTGTGATGGAACCTCCATTTTGAGTCCCAACAGTGGCCCAATGAGCCTGGTTCTGAGTACCCAAAAATGTAGGACTTAGTTTTTGGTTTTGAGCTTCCACTGAGCCTTTTGCAAAGGTTGGAAACTACACAATTTTTGTCTCCATTTTGAGTGCCAGCGGTGGTTGATAGAGCCTGGTTTCGAGTCCTTCAGAAACAAGTGCGACTTAAATTTCCATTTCAAGCCCCTAAATTAACCAGTTTTGAAGCCCCCAAACCACAGGACTTGGTCTGTTTCTGAGCCTCCAAAGCAGCAAAATAGCCTGGATCTGAACCCCAAAAACGTAGAGCTTAGTCTCTATCTCCAAGCCCCCACAGCAGCCCTGTGAGCCTGCCGCAAAGGCTGAGAGCTGTGGGGGCTAAGCCGCCATTTTGAGCCTTTTTCAGTTGAAACTGTGCAGTGCGAGGCGTCCATTGGAGGCACACTATGAAACACTTCCTTCCTTCAGGAGCTGAGACACACCTCAACCTGAAAGAGAACTCGTGCCTCTTTAATCTGCTGCTGCTACTTTAATTGTAATTGACTTAATCACACCACAGTTCATTCTGATTCAGGTACAGGATGTGATTTCTCTCTCAGAAAAGTCTTACAAAATTGAAATGTTCTTTGGGGGAAAAAACAGAATCCTACCTGGAGAGATGGAGGGACCTGGGGTTAGAAATACAAGGCAGGCTGAGCTAATTCATCTCTTCAGACTTTCAGCTGAAAACGTTTCCAGCTTCTCCTGCTCATTTTTCTGAGCAGCCCTAGCAAAATTCAAAACAAACACAAATGTAGGACTTGTCTCTGGTGGGTGTACTTCCAAAATGTAATTTCAAAGCTAAATACTGACATCTTACCTTATTTTTTTCCCCCAGGTGAACATCCAGAAAGCATGTTGTCTTTAAAGAGTGAAGGATTATCCTCATTCGTAGTTCCAACATCCAATGTCCCTGCAGGCACGGTCTGTGCTCCTGTGCTCATCGTGACTGATCATCAAATGCTGACAAGGCTTTCAGGTAGAATTTATATCAGAAGGGTTATTCTACACATTTAGGAGCAGTCACCCCCAGTAACGATAGTGCCAGTTCTTTTTGAAACCATTTCTCCAGAAAGACAAACTGGGATTCTTTCCTCAGTGTCTTCACGATATTAGGAAGATTTTCAGTTCTTGTTCTTTTAAGTGTGATTTGGGTGCTTTATGAAAGTTAATATATGTCTTTAAAAGTAATGGACAGTCTGTAAGCAATATCTCAATACTTGTATGACAACTAAACATGTTAGTGAGGTTACAGGCACACAGTGCAGAGCAATAGTATTTTATTGTAGCATTTGAAAGGGAACCTCCTTCCAGTATCACAGGCTGCAGTAATTACATGTTGATTTCATAGTTGTTTTCACCTGCATGTACCATGCCTTCCTTACAAACCAACCCACAGTGCCACATCAGCAGGTAAGATCTAACAGTTCTTATTATTATGTATTATTATTATTATATTATTATAAGATAGTATTATTATCTTATTGTTATATATTATAATACCTTATTATTTCTGCTTTGAGGGAATGATGCAAAGGCAAATGTAAAGGTATTGACCCTTCATACATGTAGCCAAGGGGAATAAGCACCTCACAAGGACAGGCTAACCACAAACTGCAGAGGACATGTGATCCAGCAGCCTGGCAAGTGGGAATCGTGGTCTTTTGAAGTGTCACAGATCTGAACGAGTAATGCCTCAGTACATTTTTCCACTAGTTTGTGGCACGCCAGTCACAGAGCAGTCCCCATGAAAAGGAAATGTGCTGATTTGTATTCTGGAGAAATCCTCTAAATTGATCGAAACCGACTGCTCAGTCACCAGTCCTGTTCTCTCCTAGATCATTTAAGCAAGTCAGCTTGTCCCAGAACAGGAATTTGCTGTACCTCTTTGCAGATGGAGTTCAAATGTGGCACTGTGTGACAGGAGCGTGCCAGAGTTCATGGAATTGATTCAAAGGAGAAAGCAGCCAGCAGCAGACCTGTTATTATTCACCTTTCTTCTTTTGTGTTCCAGTTTGGTCGATGCCACATTCAATTTCGCACCCACTATGAACTTCCCTTTCCCAATGAGGGCTGGCACATCATCCCTCACAATGTCAGATCCTCTGCTTGATTCTTGCTGCTTCATCCTCAGGGAGATCACAGCCTCGTAGTGCCTCTCTGTTCTATCCCCCAGTGCATAGATCTTGGAGAGGAAGAATATTTATTATGTTCTTGGGCACTTATTGTACAACATCATAGCTTATTTGTGTGTCCAGCTCGCTGGCTGCCTGCATGGGGCAATATGAGGGGGTGAACGCATCTGAACACTCCACGGAGCTCAGCAGAAATGGAATGTGTAGAGGATGAGATGAGGGTGTGTGTCCTCAGGAGGACAGGCTGGAGGAAGGTCTCAAGAAGAGGTCAGGAGATAGCCAGAGCTGTAAAAGGCATTTTGTAGCACCCAAAAAGGAAAGGCTAAGGCTCCTGTACATCCATTTTTGGCCTTAAACGTGCTTTTCATTTCACGTCCGAAAATCCTTTATGTGCCTGTGACTGCAGAGGCCTGAGTGAGCTGCATATATGTATCTGAAAGTTTACTTTTAATAGCATTGCTTTTAGTTTCTCCTTGCTAATGACTTGTTCCCCTTCCTAAGTGCATCAAGAGTCTTTGGAAACATTTGAAAGTGTTTAATATATTCTGAATGGCAGGGGAGATTAAGCAAGCTGCTCAGGACTTTCAAAATGTGTTTACTTTGACTCAGAAAGCACTCTGATTTTAAAGAAATTTCCTCTCCTGTTGTCAGTGATTTTTAGTAGTACCTTTTCCCGAGTCACAGGAACCTGAAAGTATGTCAAATATAACTGCCAGAGAAAGACATGGTGAAGGCAATTGCTTTTCCTCAGAAAAGAAGCATGAACTTCCACAGTGGGCACTGAAATACCTTGAGCCACTTGCACTGAGGTAAAATCTGTGGAGTACACGGTATAAAGCAACTGTGCAATGAGAACTCAGTTCTGCATGTTCAGTTTTGTTAATTGTAAGTAACAGAAATTTTGTAACAGGTTGTGAGGACACAACACATGGAGCGGAAAGACCATCAGGGAACAAACCACCTGATGCTTTTTTTGCTCATAGAGTTGTTCTTTAAAGAAGAACAAATCTTTGAGAAGGCCTATCTTGAAGCTTTCCTTTTTGACTACAGCCAGAACGAAGATGTTCCTAGTGCCTGTTCCTAGGCACTAGGTTTCTGAGGAAATAAAAGGAGGACAGCTTCAACTTGTGGCTTGAGGTTGAGTCTTAGAGTTGAGCTGTCTTTGAGTTTTTGTGTAAAGAGTCCTAAGTGTCTCCTAGAGGTGCTCTTGTCTGGGGCCTCGCAATCTGGCAGTGGCTTGGGACAAACTGAGCATAGGAAGCTCTGTGTATTACTTGCCTTAAACTCTGCAGAGCTGGTAAAGTAATTTGGGATTGGTGCAAGAATGTGAGAGTTCCTCTTGTATCCTGCTGAGGGCAATCATAGTGTAGAAGACTTGCTGTTTGGGTACAGGACCCAAGTAATGTGAAACACCCCAACTGTATATCGTTTACTTAAGTAAGCAATGAGAATTTGATTTCAGGAGCATCTGTGTAATCATCCTTATCTCAACCATATGTAATCTGAACATTCAATGCAAAGCAATCATCCTGAAATGAGCTGAGACTTCCCCACAGAGTAAGTCACTTTTCTTCCTTTGTGTGTGTGTACACAGATTGATCACCCCTCTGATTTCAAAGGTGTTTCTCCTTTTACTTACAATGTGAAGCAAGGGTAAAATAAGACTGAAATATCCTGCATTGAACCCCACAGAAAAGGTACATCTGTGAAATGAATACCAGGTGTCAAACAGAAAAGGCTTCTACTCTTTCTGAAGTATTGCCTGCCTCTTCTTTGACAGTACCCCAGGCATTGTATCTCCACTTCTGTCCTGTGTTCTGGTGTGTGGCTCCTGGTGACCCCTTTGTAACCTGTACACCCTGGTTTGAAATTTGGCTCAGCATGAGGCCAGCCAAATTCTTTTAAAATTGTGAGCAACTCCGTGTGCTGTAAGCATCACTGGTGTATAGGTTTTTGGCTCGACTCCCAAGGAAACAGTTTGTGGAAAAGCCTGAGAAGCCCCCCCACCCCACCCTGGACTAATTGATGCATCTCTCAGTGAAATGCACAGCATCTGTGTGGGCTGAAAAAAATGGGACAAGAATAAAATGCAGTCCATTTTATTGCAGTCCCCCCCCCTTTTTTTTTTTCAAAGCAAATTTACTCAGTACTGTGTGCAGTTCTGGGCATCACAGTACACAAAGGACATTAAACTGTTGGAGAGTGTCCAGAGGAGGGCAACAAAGACATTGAAGGACCTAGAGGGGAAGAGGTATGAGGAGTGGCTGAGGGCACTGGGCCCGTTCAGCCTGGAGAAGAGGCTGAGGGGGGGACCTCATCGCGGTCTACAACTTCCTCATGAGGGGGAGTGGGGAGGCAGGTGACCTATTGTCTGTAAACACCAGTGATAGAACCCACGGGAATGGTGTTAAGCTGAGGCAGGGGAAGTTTAAGCTGGACATCAGGAAGAGGTTCTTTACTGAGAGGGTGGTCGCACACTGCAACAGGCTCCCCAGTGAAGTAGTCACTGCACCAAGCCTGACTGACTTTAAAAAGTGATTGGACTGTGCACTTAGTCACACGGTCTAAACTTTTGGGTAGACCCGTGGAGTACCAGGAGTTGGACTCGATCCTTATGGGTCCCTTCCAACTCGGGATATTCTATGATTCTATGACTTTATCTAGTGCGCATTACTAGCAAATTCCTTTAACTAAAATGCAAGAAAAATCAAAGCAACTTGGAAGTCATAGACAAGACCGGACTAATTCAGCTGAAAGGGACCTACAAAGATCAAATCCAGCTGCCTGACCACTTCAGGGCTAACGAAAAATTAAAGCATTATAATTAAAAAAAAAAATTAAAGCACTTATAGGCTTGGGGCATCAACCACCTCTCTGGGAAGTCTATTCTAGTGTTTGACCATGTTCGTGGTAAAGAAATTTGTCCTAATATCCAGTCTGAACCTCCTCTGGTGCAGCTTTGTGCCATTCCTGTGCATCCTATTATCAGTTAGCAGGGAGAAGAGCACCTCCCTCTCTGCTTCACCTTCTCAGGAAGTTGTGGAGAGCAATTAGGTTATGAAAACAAGTGGCTTAAGAAGCCAGTTTCTCTGGTCTCTATGTAGAGATGAAGATCTCCCTTATCAAACTAGTTTTATTCTAGAAGTTCTAGTTGTCAAGTGAGAAACAGCAATGCATTCTTGCAGATATATGGTATCAAAACTACTTAAAGACAGATGGACCAGAAGGCTAGAACGTGCACCTGTACTAAAATAACATGGGTGAGGTTTTTGTTTTGTTTTGTTTTTTAAGTCTTCAGTGGCTGGCTGCTGAAGTCCTCTCATCTACTCAGAAAACATTTCTAGCTAAAGGAGAGGAGAGCAGATGCCTCCTGTTCAGCAGATGCAGAATCTCTTAGATACCATTCCTCATAAAGCAAAGCCCAACATGTTATATGTTCCTGAGAAAAGAGTTGGAGCTGCTGTCCGGACATATACACACGTACCAGGAAGACTGGATCACAGAACATTCACTCCTTCCTTTCCCCCAATTTCCCTGCTTATTCCTCCGCAATGGTAAAAACAGGACATATTTTTAAAAATCAAAATTGTAAATCTTTTTCAATTTTTAATTTTCAAGGGAGTGAAGCTTTGGGATGTAAGTGTTCCTTCATTTTGCAAAAGGCAAGATAATGAAAAAAAAAAAAAGATCCTCCCATATGAAGCAAACCAAAGAAAGATTTGTTATGTTAAAGATTTTATTGCTACGTGCTCCCCAATACAACAAACAGGATCAGTAGTGTACACTTTAATGAAAGTGAAATTAGCTTGGTAGAAAAGAAAGCAAAAAGGTACAAGGATTATCTACACCCACATTGTATATATGTAGAAGATAAAGACAGAGAAAGAATTAACATTTGGGAAATTTCCAAGGAATAAAACACACCCTATTTGTCTGTTTGAGGCTCAGGGATTGTCTGAACAATCTATTTAATACTAATTTCTTTGACCTTCAAAAGTCTTGCAGAAAGGTAGCAGCAATTCTTTAGAGGTGTTGGGTCAATACTTTAGTGGGTTAGATTATGCACATCACAATGCAAGATGCGTCTTGCATGGCGACCCTATACTCCCCTGAACAGGATTCATCTACTTAAAAGTTTCATTTACCTTAGAAGTCTTCTGGCAACAGTTTTCATCTTTACTTCATCATAGTGATTCTGCATAATCACTACAGAAGTTTCTTTCCAGAATTTAGCCTTTGGAGTCCTACTATTTTATAGGATGTTAGAGGTTCACAATCACTGTCCTTATAAATGGGTCAATCATGAGGACCTTTTATGGGGAGCCAAAAATTGCACATGAATTTTTCATAGCCTATTTAGAAATTAAAGATGCCTGTAACAAAAAAAAAATAAAATGTCATAAGACTTTTTTTTTTTTTAAAGAATAAGATCAACAATTTCTCTACAGTAGTTTAGTTAGCTTAAATTTCTGTTCTATCCATATGACATAGCATGTACAGGTATCTAGTTACATCTCTCTATTTTATCTTGGCAAAAAGAATAGTCAACTGCCCTTAGTGTAAATATTTAGTACATAAAATACTATCAAGAATTCAACTTTTAATAAATATCTTTAGTTCTCAATCCTATATACAAGTACTTTACAGCAACACACAGGAGAGAGTGTGATTGGGTGGACTGTGAACAAGATGGTTATTGACATAAATTACTAGTACATTATTGCAGTCAGATGCATTGTGGTTGTGGAGATTTTGAGGTGAACCATGCTGAAAAATAAATATCTCTCTCACCTTTAAATCAATGCTTCCAGTAGGCAAAAAAAAATCTATTTTAAGTCTTGCCACAGCTATTTCTTATTAGTGCCTATTCTACCACTGTGATGCTTTTTCAGCTTCATAAAAAACAACCGGATCGTTTGGAAAACACAACTCATTTTTGACTTGTGAATATTACAGTACTTACAGTATATACATGGTTTCCTACACTGGTCTGACCTTGTAGGCAAAAGGAGACCAAAGGGACAGCACTGCTACTCCTAAACTGAAGCAGTGCCTGCTTAGCATGGGCCATGGGTATCAGGGTTCATTTCACAGGCACATACAATTGTTTTTCCAACCTGTGACTAGAATTACACTAAAATTTCTAAATCTACTTTTAATGGGCAGGTGGCAATAAGTAGACTCGTACCTTGAGGATTACACTTTTTTTCCCCCTATTTCAAAAGAAAGCATCACATTGTTGACATTAATAAAAACCAAACTCTTTCCTAGTTTCAGTAGATGTAATTCATACGAAAATGGAACTCCTCCTTTTATGACAATGCTGCTTAAAAAAATCAACTTATGGAATGTAAATAAGGCAGTACTCAATGGCAGGCACCTAGCAATTGTCCAGAATGTAACATAGGTAAACAGTTGTCTGACAGCACAAAACTCTTAAAAATAATACTGATTTTCTGCAATATACAGTATTTACACAACAGCTGCAAATTTGCTCATACAATATCCATTTATATAGATAAATTAGCAAAACAAGTCTTATGGATTCAGTTGTTCCATTGCAAAAGTATTTTGTATAGTGTAAACGTTTGGTACCTCTTGTAGTGGGGCGTTTTCTATATGTGTTTAAAAACAAAAATAATGAGGTGAGTGCTGACATCAGGGCCGCTTTCCCTGTACTAGAACTTGACCGATGCCCTCAGCAACTTTTGCTCACTGTTAGGAATATTCTTTGGTGCTTTCCTCCAACACATTCACGCTACCCAGATGACGCAGGATGGGAGGAGGATGGGAGCGACTAGAAAGTGAACCAGCACTTCTCGTTCTTTGTATTTACAAGGAAATGAGTTGATGATCTGCAGCGTCCTGCTCGTGGAAAGCAGCATGCACCATAGTGTCCAGAAGTAAAGAACTGAAACACAAAGCCAAACAAAGCCTCTTTCTGCTACTATCCTCCACGTGGCATTCACGTTCATCTTTCCACAGTGGAGGACCTCGAAGGCCATCTCTTTTCAACCTGCTTCTCACCCTTCCGTGAGGTTCTCAGTGAAGAAGGAGCACCCACCATGGTGTTATTAAGTGGCACCACAGGAACTGCTGCTGCCAAAGCAAGGGTGTTACGAGGGCCAAGACTGCTGCTGTTGGCAGGTGGCTGGTGTAGCAAAGCAAACAGCCTAGAAGTCTTGCTTGCCTCAGGAAGTCTCCATCGCGGAAACTCAGCACCTTTAGTCTTAGTGTTTGATGGGGAGACGCGTGCATCTGTGTCCTCTTCTGCAAAGCGAAGCCTGCCCAGAGAACTTCGCCCAGGCAGGAGCTCTGCGTAGCGGGGCACTGACGGCGTTGGCATCACCAAAGCCCTAGGCAGGTCACTGTGATCAAACAGTGCTTCCTCTTCAGTCTCAGCAGCCTCGGTAAGGAATGGAGGTGGGAGGGTGCTGCTGCGCTTGCTGCAGGACTCACAGCAGAGCTTGTTGTAGCCAGGGATGGAACAGTACCGTGCAAGCACTTCCATCTGACAGAAGATAGATTTGTCTCCCATACAGGGTTCATCTGCAAAACAAATCCAATACTGATTACAAACCCAGCACCAAAGAGTGCCTGGATGGAATTTAGATGGGCATTGATAAAGTTCTGCCCATGTTTCCAAAATGATGGGCTAGTCTGAGATGCTTCATCCATCAAAGAACTCACCAACCCCATCCCCTTCAAAGAGGCCTAGCTGGGAACAACAACAACAACAAAAAATCATTGTTCACTCTGAAAATGCTGGATTCTGCGCACACCAGTCATGAGGAGAGGAAAGTCATGCTCTATTTCTGGAGAGCCACAGACAGCAATTTCCAATGATAACCTAGTAACTCCCAAATACCCCACTAGTTGTCATTCTACCCTGCCCAAATCACCTTCCCTTCTAGCCTAAGGACATTGCATATCAACAACATTTAAAACAATTAAAATTTCCCTTAAATAAATCCCAAGCAGTAACTCTTGGAGATGCCTTTTATATAATCTCTTAAAATAAAGTGTTAGATACATTTATTAGTTTTTCAGTGACCTAAACATAACTAGAGAACCGATGGAAAGCTCTTAACAGATAGTTCGGATGCCTTCAAGTTGTGCGTGGCATTCCTTTCAGTCAGATCTTAAAGATCTTAAAGAAGTCAAAGATGTACTGGAGGGTCTCAAAAATGTCAATGTTCCTTTGAGCGTTTGCTGGATATTTGTATTTGACACATAGAAATGCAGTGGTCATTGCAATAATATGAAAAAGGAAAAATAAGGCTTTTATATTTAGCTAAGAGCACATCTGTACCCGGTCTTTTAAATTTACAAATTTTATGTTCCTAACCTGTTGTACCAGTACCTAAATCTGGTGCTGAGGCTCTAGCAGCAGTTCAGAAGCAGGCCAGGAACATAGAAATGTGTAATACGTCACAGGACAGAAAACCAGCACTGAGGACAAGTGAGTTGCTCAGTGCATCCAGTAACTATTCAAATACTTTCGGAAGAGACCAGCAAAACATTCCCATTAACAGAATTTTCCTAAGATATCACAGTTTACTTGAAATAGTATTGATGGATTTTACTTAAAATAGAAGCATGCAAAATTATAATGTAAAAGGCCAAAAGCTAACCCCAATGATTGAGAGTATCTGTTCCATGTCTAGTCCTCAATTCATAGTTAGCAATTATGTAGTCAACATTTTAACGAGCAACAGATGCCATGTTTTGCCACTTATTAAGCTCTGAAATTAAATTAGCTTTCTGTCCTGTGATATTTTCTCACTGGTGTACAGATGCTGTCTCACCACATGTCAACAGTACGTTAGGCAACCGAGTTTTCCTATTTTAAAATATTAACTGTAGCCCAACCCCTCAATCAGTGTAAATCAGCTTAATTCCACTGAATTCAGTAAAATTACACACATCAGTGGGCTCGCGGGATGTTGTTTATAAATAGCAAATTATATGACTTCAGCACGTAATACAATTTTTTTCCTTGCTCCTAGTCCTGATGTGCTTCCTTGGATGGGTGTTTATTGGTTCTTGACAAACCTAGCATTAAATCTGCAGCTTTGCCTGGGAACGTATGTAGTCCATGGAGGCACTATAAGACTATTTTCAGCAGGAATTAGCATGGGAAATTCAAGGGCTGTATTCATAATTCATCTAAACTAGAAAAACTAATATTGAAACACAAATCTTTGCATCATATGTAAAGTAATAATTATGCCTTCATGGAAATGAAAGCACCTTATCTGGAAAATTATGGCAGTCACCTTATTAACACACTGTGATTTATATCAATATATAAGTGAAAGCAAACATTATGACCTAAAATGACAAACAAATCAAAAAGTATTTTTGCCATTCCATAAATGCATCTTATTTAGTCCTGTTCTCTCATGGCTATTTTTTCTGGTATTGGTTTGCAATGGTTTAGATTTTGTGACTCACACGGTAGTGCAAAGATTTGGTTTTGTACTTATCTACTTTCAGTAGGTTCCGTTAGTACAATCTTGGAGCTAGATACTCACGTAATCCTTTTTTTTATTATTATTATTTTTTAGGTTAATTCTGCACAACCTAGTCAACCATTTCCTATTCAGTACTGAAGTGCTTGTATCCTTCTGCTGATGTTCATGGTAAAAAAATCTTTTCACAATTTGTTACTTGCTTCACAGTAACTAAGAGTAGAAGACACAAGAAAGTGTATCGGCTCCCTAGGGAATTTTTAGAAGATGAAATTACTAGAATAGAATTTAAATTAACTCAAATTTTTCACATTAGATTCTAGATTTGACATATCTCTTAAAAAAGGCATCACCTTGACTGTACATCCAATGGGATGTTTGCTGACAGCATCCCATTGAGAAATCTTGCTTTGAGCTGGAAGTTGGTATTCAGGTTCTAAAATTTAAAACAGGAGGTGGGTACTTCTGCATGCATGCCATATCACATCTGGCAAAGTAGGGCTTCCTCATACAGAGTTCTTACATGAAGCTCATCAGTTCATGTCAGTACCAAGGGATCAGTTTTTTAATTTGGGACAGATAAAAAGGAAATTTGATGGTAACATTTGCACAGCCACAGAAACATGACTGCTGCTCAGATTATTGCTAAGGACCTGAAGAGTAAAATCTTGCCTCCTTCTTCCTTCTAGTCACAGAGAGTTAAGAAGAGTAAGTGAAATATCTATGGGAGGTGTCCTCATTTTTCTACACTACAAAACTCAGCTCCACTGAGGAAGAGCTGGTGACTCTTCTGTATACAGACATGTTTTTTCATGAAATGAAAAAGAAAAGCTTTAACATAACATAAAACGAATCACTCCAGCTATGAAAAATGTCCATCCCAGCTCCATTAAGATGAAATTCTCAGCAACTGTGCATTTATACGGTAAATCACTGGCCAAAAACACATAATACAGACTAATGTTTTGCTAAGTCTAAAGCCCTGAAAATCAAAATAATAATCCAGGCTATACAGACTTAAAAATAAAGGTCTACCACACATTACATAAAGGGTTTATCTACATAAATGTTACAGAACACTATTTATATATTAGCTGCATTCCCCCAAAACATAGAGTGTGGTAGAAACCACATCAGAAGAGTGTGGCAAAAAAGATAGACTACTTGGTCTGAAAGAATACTGGCAGCTACTTAGTGCAGAGGTTGAAAATCCCAGTGCTTGGTAAAAGTTATGGCCCTAATCCCTGAGCGAGGTAGAGAGGTTTGTGCTCAAAGAGGAGAGTCTGGCTGAGGAACAAAATATGCAGGGCCCCTGTGGTTTTTTCAAAAGGATGAAGGACTTGGCTGGATGCAGCTGTTTGTGCCCTTGTAGTTAGCAGCATTTTCATAAAGCCCACATTGTGCTGTAGGTTTGCTGCAGCAAGGCCAGGTAGATCATTGCATTTCCCTGGCCATTACTTCTTTTTTTTAACAGCTATTGCAATGTGTGCTATGTCCTCTCTCTTGAGAAAATGGACCTAGGGCTTCAGAACCCTGTTAAGCACCCTCAGTGCCTACATGTGACCACAAAAATCCTTCATTCACCAGGGCGTGTGAGATGGGGTCCATATTAAGTATCCAAAAAAATAATAATAAAATAAGTATTAACCAAGGCGATTCAACTGCAATTTGTAGAGGGTCTGTACAAGACCATCTATTGCTTACATTCCATATTAGTGGATCCTAGGTGTTGCAGGTCAGTGGCACTGAGTATTGCTGTGGGAGAACATAATACTCACATGGAGAAAAAAGACTGCGTGATACTTAATTTTGAATGGCTGGAATTTAACAGTCTGTTACAGAAAATCCCAGGTGATATTTAAAGAACAAATTCTTTAAGCTAATGCTTAAAGCACAAGATCAAATTTACCTGAATAGTTTTTTGAAGATGTAACGCTTATTTATTTTAGTTTTGGAAATGTTTCTATCACCAGTGAATAACAAGTCCTTAATGAAATTTGTTTCTAAAGTCACAGATAGTGATTTGCTCCCACCTAGTGGACCCACCATTTCTTAACAGTTCATCGCTCTGAGAATTGTTTTCTCCTGAGTTCCTTCACTAGCAATAGCAGAAGAGAAAAAGAGGAAAGTAGAAACTTTTACCAGACTTGTGGCAAGCAGTTAGATTCAATCTGTGGGAGAGCATACTGCATGTTCTAAGAACTCTTACTCTGAAGAATTACTAAATTACTAAATACTAATTACTAATTACTAAAGAATTTTTTTCTACCAGCCAGGGGTCAGAGGATTAGGACTATCACGAGAGATTGAAAAAACCAAATAAATTGTATTATATTTTCATTTCCTTTCAATTGGCAGGGTTGTAAAACTCTTCCTGTGATCTAAAGGTCAAGCAGGGTCTTCTTTGGATTGACCTTCACCTTTGGCCCAATTTTTGCAAATGCAACTTAGGCTAACATATCTAAATGCCCTTATTTCAGCATGTTTACAAGAGAGAACAACCCTGGTGTGTGAGAAACACCAAACCCCTGGAGTTAAGGTATCAGTAATAGTCTGGACAACAGGGTGCCTCTAGCTGGAACAGAGCAGGGCAATCTCGAGTGAATGATGCATTGTTTAGAATACAAGAAGTGAATGGTGTTGTGTGGTTGTCGCCTGACAGTGTAGGGTCTTTAAAATATGGCACAGTACAAGCTTGGTGTGTACACTATGTCATTATAAGCATGGGCTCTGCCTTGTCTTCGAAACCTGTACATAGAAAGTTCACCAAGTAAAACTAAAGCTTTAGGTAGGATTAAATACAGGTCTAGTATTTTTCATTGGAATTTAATGAGTATGAAAAGTCTTAACCATCTCTATCCCAGAACATTGCTATGCCCTGACATGCTGCCCTGAGACAGGGACTGTTACCCTCATCTGATGCAGTCATATTAAGTTGTTTGCTTACCATTACAGGGAGCGAGTTTACAAGTCCTCACTGATTCTGGCTTTTCTCCATCACAATGGTCACCAGCACGGCATATGATCTGCCGGGTCTCAGTGCCCTCCCCACAAGTCACAGAACACTATGAGACAGACACAAGACAATTCAGGATATTTCACAGCAACGTGCAATAGTTAATGTGTATAAAATAGCCCAAGGGTGTCTTTTACATTAGGCTATACATTCCAGTAGTTTGTTTTGAAAGCAGGCTTTAGTGAAGGGTGGCATAATGGAAAAATAAGCAAAGAAAGAGGATGGTATTTTCTGCAGTTCTTCCTTTCTGTAATGTTAAATTTATTATTAGAGCATATTATGAATTTTTCTACTTCGTCTTCTTATAACCAATTCCTGATCTTGACAGTATAATAGAAAGAGAACACAAAGGGCATGGAATTCTAACTCGGTACCTGCTGAGTTAGCTGTAAAGTTCAGTTGTTTGTTCCAAAGACATCACAACAGTACTGACAGTTGCAGAAACTTTGAGATTCTACCACAGTCCAAGTTGGTAAAACAAACAAACAAAAAAACCTATCTATAAAGCTGTCCTCAGAGTTAGGGAAATACAAAGTTGGAAAGGTGGAGAAAAACACAATTTCAATATTTGTTTTGCAGGATTGTATATCTAATATTGTGGATGTTTTCCATGTTGGTTTCTAGGATGGCATTATCTGCTGCCAAATTTCATGTCTTGGAGAATTCTGACGACGTGCAGTCAGGAGCTTTCACCCCAGGCCCAGCTCTGACATTGGAGGCACGAGGTGTTAGCGGAGGTATGGTATTTGCTCATGACTGCTGCTCACCTACCTCAGACCAGGGTCCAGCCTTCCACTGTGCAGGGCACGGTACACGGTTGCATGGCCTGCGACTCTCAGGGCGATCTCCACTGCAGTACTTGAAGTGGACAGAGCGATTTGTGCCATCATGGAGGGGTTGAATGCAACGCACAGTACGGATCTGGTAGCCTGAATTCCCACAGGTTTTTGTGCAGTATTCCCACTCATCTGCTGACCACCTGGGGTGTAAAAAGAACAAGATGCCATCAGAACTTTTACCCATTATCCAAACTGCTGCCAGCTCAGGCAGCCCTTAGCGTGCAATTTTTTTTGGTGGTGAAACCACTCAGATCAGTAACCAGTCTTACACAGACAGAAAAAGACATCCAGAACACAGGAACTCCAATCTAGATAGCTATCGGATAGCATCCCAAATCTAACATGGGTTGTTTTCCACACCTACCACAGAAGGCAATCGTTTGTATCTTATCTCTAAGACACACTTACAGAGGCTGTGTGCATTCCTGAAGATTGCACATTCTACGAATGGGCTTTGGCTTTTTACTGGCTTCACAGAAGCTGCGATGAACCATTTTGTTATCACTTTTCCTGCGGCACCCGTATTTGGTATACTGGAACCCTGGAACATATTTCAGAGAAGTCAGGAAAAACAGGTTCTTGTTAGATTTTTTTGATTTAAATATAAGTCTTATGTTCTATTAAATGGTTTTACATGACATATTTACAAGGTATTTAAACATGCTCACAGTTTGTTCAGTTTTCAAGCACTACATTGTTGCAGAGTGCTCTGTGGATGTTGTTTAAAACATGGCACTAGGGTAGGTTTTCAAGGGACTGTTAAGACCCTTTAGTTTAACCTCTGCATTGTACATACAGATTTTGGCAAAGAGACGGTAGAAATTACCTCCTTATTGTCAAGTGGCAGGTCACTGACTAACAAGGGAATAAATCCATGTCCCAAATCTTATTTTAGTGTTCTTGCTGCTGGATGACATCACCCACTCATTTGCTGTACAAAAGTCTTAAAGTTACTTAGAAATTTACATTCCCCATTATTTGTATAGGAGTAGTGTTCATTCCATAAGTAAAGTGAACACTCAGTAGCATAAATGGCTGGGTTTGTACATCCAAAGAGGCCTTGGGTGCTGCATTTAAACACCTAGAAAGGACTTTTCTTTCTAGGCTGAAGCATTACACTTTTGAATAATCAGACACTTAAGATATTTTAAGCTTGGCCACCCCAAATAACAAGCTGTTTTTAAAAAGGAAGCCCAAGATTTTTAAAGCATTCACTTCCCCCACCTTCTACTCTTCTACTTTTGGTAATTTGTCATTTATTACTACAATGTGCTACATCATCTGTTTACCTCCACCACAGGGTTTGGAGCACTGCGACCAACTCTTTAATGCCCACTCAAAAGTATCTATTTCCTCCTGTAGGACGTTGTTGCTGTTGATAGTTGGCACTGAATCCTCGTGAATGATGTATTTATAAGTCAGGCTAGATCTTGTGTCATTCTCCCGAGGAATGATCTATTAATAATCAAATGCAAACAGTGGTAGAAAACCAGAGCCATTATTTATTCTGTAGTGTAAAGAAACTATGGCCTTTTAAGGACACATGGAAACTGCTGGTTAGCTAATTGGAAAAAAAAAAAAAAAAAAAAAGTCTTCTTTTATCTTCACAGTTAGAACTAACAATAGTAAAATCAACAGAGAGCTGTTTAAAATGAGATGCCTTTCTAAGCTAGCTTTCTAGGCTGGCCAAGTAGGACACCATCATCCAGGATGAAATGATGCAGTGGCCCAGTCATCTACTTGGCAGGAGACCAGGGTTGGTCTCAAATACTGTTTGACGTACTAAGACTTTTTTTGTCCACTGAAAGTGTCCCATTGAAGTCAGAGACCACAATATTTGGCTTGTGACTGATACTTTACCACTGCATGAACAGGCAGCAGTTTACATGGGAGGGTAAATGCTAGTGAGGAAAGGATTTCAGCTTGCCAGCTGTCTCCTCAGCATATGTCTTTCTGACAGGCGTTAACACAGCAAAGTTTGTCTCAGCACAATCTCCGTGCTGACTGTGCACTTTTACAAAAGACAAAACTACCACATTCCCACTGCTTGACAAACAACCTACCAGCACAACCACTGCATCATGCAAAGGCCCATCAGTGTGAAGAGTTTCTATGTCATCTTCTATGTTGTATTCCCACTCCACGCCCAGGTCGATGAAAGATCGGGATCTGGCTTCCTCCCCTTTCCCATTCAGAATATAGTGTCCTGTAGCCTGGTTCTTAATTGCTGAAAGGATTGAAAAGAGTGGCAGTCGTGCCTTCCATCATAGCGTCTGCAATCGTAGTGGCTTATGTGAAACTTGATCGGAGATATTACAGAAAGCTTTTTACAAAAAACAAACAAAGAAACACTAGGAAATGCTATAGATGCATTCTCAGAAAAAGGCCCTCCAAGACCATCTCATTTAGCCTCCAAATTCCACTCTGATGATAGACACATTTGCATGTTTGATTCAATTTTAGACCTCCTTATCCATATGAATTAGATACAGATACAGAGCTAGAGATGGACTGAAAAACTTCTTCCTGTGTAATAATATGCACATTTTCCATATTGGTTTAGTTCCCAGGAAGCACGGGTAGTAGCAAGAAACTCGGGTCAAATCTTCAGAGTTTCCCTTCCTCCACATTTGCATAAGACCAAACCAGCATCATTGGGAATACACACCTCAGGAGACTCTAAGTGCATTTCTTATATTCCTCAGGTTATAAAAATGACAGCTTTTTTCTGTATTTCACTGTCTTTTGCATATGTATTTAAGTACCAGATGCTAAAATCTGTAAGCAAAGAGCTGAGGCATTTGAACCCCTGGGAAACTTACTGGTTTTGGGTTCCTGCAACACACCTTGGAAGTCATGTAGTGCGCAGGTCATTATTGTGCTCTGATGACAAACCATTACATCAGAAATCTGAGAGGTGGGCTCTAATTTTTTCTTTTGTGCTAATTTTGCAGATCACCATAGAACATGATAAAATATATGCAGAAATCTCACATGTTCCTATGATTAATCAAAATGCAGGAGCTCTGCAGTACCTAGTTGGAAGTGTGATGAAACTACTTACTGCCAAATCAAAGCTATCCCCTGAAAGGTATTAGCAGGACATGTTTGGTCCACATGAAGATCTTGGACTTCAAAAGCCTCTGACATCAGCACAGCCAAAACTACTGTCTCTTCTTTTTCTTTTTTAATCCTTTTTTTTTTTTTTTTAGTAACTGACTTAACTTTGCCTTAATAGTTTCAAATTCAGACAGTGCCCTAGCACAAAAAGAGCTGACTAAATGTATGTTAGAAACAATGGATGATCTCACCCCTCTAGTGTACGCTAAAAATCCCTTAAGCATTAGAAAGTGGTAAGTAGCAAGACACAAGCTGATTAACAACAATATGGTATTTCTTACATAAGAAAAATCTCAAATGAAAGGGACTGCAATTATATGACAAGTTCTCCAGTTTTTCTTTCCATTAAAAATGCTGTTGCTTACAATCTGCAGCGAATAAGAATAATTGAAGATAGTGAATTTCATTCACAAAACAGAATTTTTTTTACTCTGGCAGCGCCAGTTTAAATTTGAGTGATGACAGTCTTTTATTAGTAAGCATGCAAATTGGGATCAGTTTAACATTTTGAAGAATTCAGATGAGAATTAAATTTGATTGCTAAGCTTATGCTGTTGAACTCAGTCCTTAACATGCAATTCTGAATGCACATATTTACCCTAAACACTTTAATTTGGTTATCTCATTTCTCAGGTTCTTGCATGACTGCCCCATGCTTCTCATCATGCCTCAAAGCCAAACCTGAGGAGAGAAACACTTACCAAGAAAGTGAGGAGAAGCCTCGTCTTCTTGGATAAACACATGTCGAGCACCAGGAGGGATATCAAACATCTTAAGGTACCCTTTGGCATGTGTAGTAGTCAATGGAGAAAGAAGAGGAGAAAATAAAAAGTAATAGCCATGGTTAGGAGCGCTCTACATCATCCAGCTTCTACTTGCAGAAGAGGGCATCCATCAACTGAGAAGCAGTGCCACAGAGAAACTGATCAAATAGTTTTGTAACATGTTTGGCAAGACTTCCTTGTGCTTTTCCTCTTTCAGGGAGAAAAGAGAAACCAGTTACAAATCTATTTATCACTTGATTAGCTGCACTCCTATAGGCCATAATGATTAACAATTCAGGCAAAAATATGTTTCCTATGTTTGTGAGCATACAAAGGAAAAAAACAAGTCTTCCTGATTATTTTTTTTTCCAGATCACCCATCAGCCAGACTGTTAGATTTGAATTTACTTACTGTACTGTTACATGTTTATGTCTTAAGTGTGTCTATTTACTTCTGAGACATCAATGACTCTGAAGAAAGTTGGATGTACTACAGAGTGTATTGTTGCTACACTTAAGGAAGGTCTTGTCTATGTGGAAGTTCATTATTGACAACTGTGAAATGCAAAATGAATCAATTCAAGTATTACTGCTGAGGTGAAAGGGCTGAACTCAACTCTCTATAGCTAAGAGTAAAAAACAGTTCCCAAAGACAATAATTCCTATTTTCAGTTTTAATTATTTATCAGTCCAAACCACAAGTAATTAGTGTGATATTAAGCACATACTATGGTAATTTAGGAAGACTAAAATCTGTCTTCAGAACCTGTCAACAGGCACTTCTATTTAAAGTTTTAAAGAAGAGCTACACATGTAGCTAAGTGAATGTATAATTAATTGGATGTAAGGATGTGAAACTCTTGAGTTCATTGCATTTTCATATTCCTCTATTTTCCCTATAACACCTGCATATTTAATTATGATAAATCTTCTTGGATCCATTTTTAAAGAGCTGAATAAGTTTTTCCTCTGATTTGTACTCCACAATCCATTTTCCTGTTACCAAAGCAGTGTAGATGTGACTAGACTTGTAGTATTTGTGCATTGCAAACAGAAGATTTAGCATTTAAGTAACTGTTTCATCTGAAGGATTCTAAGACTAACCAATAAATGTGTAGTTAGCCATGCGTCTGACATAGTACAGCTGCTTGGATAATCAAAGCAAAGAAAATGAAGAACTATGAGTGTGTAAAATCATGGTCTTGGCTGATGAGTGAATGCAAAAGCAGCATTTGCTGACCTTTTTATTGACCATTTTTTGAGCATATGAAACAAAACTTTTGCCTGATTTTGTGTTATCTATCAACATCTAGATGAAGATGAGAACTATAGCAAGAACTCTCGAGTTGCCATGGATGTCGCTCTTTCTGCAAGCACATGAAACTTACCCAGAGTATTTTTAGACTCCTTTGTTTCAGAAAGGGAAATATTGCGAGCTCCTTTGGGCAATGTAAATGCTCCTCTTGTCTTCCCTTAAATAGAACGTCTGTAATTAGTGTTATGGGAGCCAAGTCCTGTTATTTCATTGACTACATTGTCAGCCAGATGGTCTTAAAAAATACAAAGTAGAACTTACGTTCTGTGTTCAAAGGCATTTAAAGCAGTTTTAGACACATCTAGCAAATTTTAATAGTCAATGAAAATTAGACCAGTGAAAATTCAGGTAGGTGATTTTAAGTTGGATACTTGCAGATTTCATTTTCCAGAAACTTGAATTCTTTTTGGCACCTCTTGCTTAAATGTTTTCCTGTTGGAAGAGGTCAATTAGTCCTTTTAATGACTAGATTGCCACAGTTACCATAAAACAATAAACATTTCACAAATACTTTCATCACTTTCATTAACATTTGGAAGTGGCTGATCAACAGCAGTCTTTCCTGAACCATATCCTAGCACTGTCCGTCACTTTGAATTGTAGTGCTTTCCAGGCACTGAGAACATTGTGAAAACATCCAGTCACACACTATCACTCCATAAGACAATGCAGTATTACTAAGGGCCCCCAGGCAAAAATGCTGAGACAGAGCATGATGAGGTCAATAGCAGATTTTGCCCTCTGCTGGCCTCTCATTTGCCCTGTTATCTCCCAGGCAGTAAGCCAAACCACAGGCGAGGTACACTGACTGCAAGCTGTGAGCTGCAAACCACTGCTATAGAAAATAGAAACCAGACTCATTAGAGAAAGCTCTTCCTGGACTGGATCCAAAGTTGTGACACGAATATTCCCTCTGCCCCCCAAAGTACAACCATTCTTCTTAGTGAAAAAGATTAGAAACACACTTAGAAGGCAGAGCACTTATTTCTGCTGATTACAGGAGGTGTTTTGTTTTGTTTTGTTTTTCAGAAAAGCATAGTAACTCCCAACTCAAGAAATACACAGGTTTATACATAAGGTTCAACTTATAGTCTTAAGTTTGAGTAATTCTTATATTATTCTGTGTCTAATCCATAAAGCCCCCTGTCATCCCTTTCAGGAAGGTTCTCTACTGGCTCTGATAATTACAATCAGTAACCTTTTCCTGTTGGTTTGTAATAATTAATAAGTATTTTCTGCAGAATATTTCATATATTTTATTTCCATTCACACAATAACTTGTCTTTGTCCAAGTTTAGTTTGTTTGCTCACTTACTGTCCAAAATTAGTTACCAATGCTGCAGCAAAGCTCTCTTCATGGCAGCAGTTACCAGCCTCTGAACTGTTAAAGAAGATATTCACACTATCTGTCCATAAGCCTTTCACCACTCTGTCATAAAGCACTTAGTTCTATCAAACAGGTATTACTGAAATAGCACCAAGTCATACATACTCATATCCCTGAGTAGCTTCCCTAGACTGAAATAAAAGCAGTAATAGTAAAGTCCTGAAATGCAAAATATTCTCAGCAAAATATACAAGATAATGCTGCCCTGGCTTAACAAATAACTGACTAAATATAAATTTCTGAGGAAGTCTAAGGAGATCTTAAATAATTATTGATGAGATGTGCTGCAATGTACTCCAGTCTAGTCTGAGCATTTTAACCAGCACATTCTTAGTTCAGAGCTGACAGAATGCTTTTATATGTTTCACTGGATGTCAGTTATACAACTCAAAAGATGACAGAAATGAGGGTTTCTTCCAAAATATTTTTATATTTGGTTCAGAATTAAGTTGAATTTATTTTTCATTTGTTTATTTGACTAAAAGTCTGTAATTTGTGATGACTAATTTGATATGAGGATCTACATGTTTGTATGCAAACAAGTTCTTAAAACTTGAGTTTAGGTTTGAGAATAAAAACTTGTGAAAAGCTTCAAAGGGAAAAAAAGTATTTCCTCTAGTCATCCTACATACAAAGTATGTTACACTTAGCATCAAGTAAAGTACCTCGATTTCTTCTGAATTTCACTGTTAAGAAGAATAGTTCATTTTTGTTTGGCAGAACTCGGTGTATCCCCACTTAACACAAACATTGTCTGTTTGGGCTTCAGCATTTACAAAGAACTAAACATGTTCTGCCTGGTGAGTGTTTCTGGATACACCAGACTTTCAAACTTTCTTCTAATTAGTCCTTCAAAAGACAGAAACATTCCAGTGTTTTAAAAGTTTAAAAGAACTAAATTTATAGGCAAGAAAATGCTGTTCCTACCAAGCTTTTTGGGAGTGCGGGTAAAGGTTCCTTTCACAGTTCGGCAATGGGAGTTATCTCCGCCACAGACACCACACTTATCTTCAGCCTTATTGGAGCCAATTTCCTTGTCACAACCCACCTTCTGCAGAAAGAAGAGCAAAAAGAGACATGGCTTTATTGTAGGCTGTAAGTTTTTGTTATAGAGGGAGCAATCTCAATATCAATGCACTCAGGAAATCGCCACCTAACACTGATCTATTTTATTTAAACACAAATTACTTGAAAGCCTTGTGCTGCATGATGGTTTCCTAGGTGAAGAACAAGAATTGATTGTCATGTTATATCCACTCTATGTCAAGACTAGGAAAGATGGGAAAGATGGAAAAAAAAATCTTTTCAGACAGGAAACTAAGTGTAAATGAGGCAAATGAAACCATTAGTTGAAGAAAAGTGGAGTATTTCCATGGAACAGATTCATGCCATTGCTCTAATTTAATTTATATTTCAAGTAATAATGAGGAATGTGATGCTGCAAATATTTAATTTCAAAACATCTGCAAAGTCTATCTCTGCACTATTTACAGAGTTCTGATTGCTGCTAAACAGAGTTGTTAGGTAACAGCACAGTTCAAATTCAGAGTGTTGGGAAGGTGCCACTCACCACACATTCTCCACGAACACAAATGCTGTAGGGATCTTTATAGGAACAGCGAGTCCCATCATGTGCCAGCTGTTTCATATAAGCAACATCTCCTGTTTCTTTGGATTGGCAGTACAGGTGGCATCTCTTATTAGCTGCATAGCAGAGAAACAGAAGTAACTGCATAAATTAACAGAAACCCAGATGAGCTTCAGAAAAACATCCCACTAAAGGCAGACAGAGAATAAGACAGAAAGGACCTTAAACAGACAGATGTGGGGAAAAACAAACAAACACCAAGTTGCTTTTCTCTGAACTATGGGCCTATCGCTTTGAGATATTCTCGAAGAAATCAGTTCCCTTCCAAAGAGGCTCCTAGAATTGCATTCTCCAATACTCCGCATGTAGCTTTCACTTTGATCTTATTGGGAACAGGGCTGAATTTAGGAAATGATATCATATGAAAAGAACAGAGGGTATGGGTCTTTTAACTTTCTTTAGCCTTTTTGGAAGATACCAGCTGAATGTCGCTATCTGAATCTGACTCCCTGGACAAGCATATAAAGGGTTTCTCTGGAGATACCTGAGGAAAAAATGTCAGCAACTTAAAGCAGCTCTGAAACACCTTCCAGTGAGCTAAGAAACTTTGTGCTTGAGCTGTCCTCATTACTCAACGTAGTTACTGGGTTCAATTAGAGTTAGGAGTGAAGAATCAGGCTCTGGCTGCTGGACCCATACAAGAGTGGGAAAATACTACGAAAGAACTTCTCTAGTAGTGCCATTAGAACAAAATAATACTTCTGGTGCAAATTACTAGTAGTGGTAGCATTCATGTTTTGCACTCAAACAGACAAACAGCTGCATGGGAGAGAGGGCAGGAAGAGTCTTTCAGGACCTGAGCACAGCTTTCTACACTTGGCCCCAACAGTCATGGGCATTAAATGAGCACCCATCAACTATTCCAGCAGCTGCAAGCCTCAGCTTTCACACTGTGTTCTCACTAGGAAGAGGATGAAAGTTAGGGGAAGCTACCTGGGCTAGGGTTGGAGAAAGTACAGAAGTTTCAAAAATTTCTTTCTGGGCCATTCTTTTTTCCCCGCTTTTTAGTCTCAGCTACGCTCGCTCATACCCCAGTTATTTCCAGTCTCTGCATGGTGACTGGAACGAGACTGCCACACGCTCTGCAAGATTTGAGGATTGACTTGTAATAAACACAAAAAACAGAACTTACAGTCAGGGTGTTCGTATGGCAGCCAGTGGTGTTTGCTGTTCTGATACTCAAAGTGGGAGTTGCGTTGCTGACATTGCTGCGCTCTGAAGTCCTCAAAGTGCTTTGGACACTCTTCTGTATTGCAGAGTTGAAACTCAAAATTGACACCAGCACAATCTTCACCTCCATTAATTGGCCTGTGAGGAAAAAACATTCAAGAGATTCTAAAACCCTCTGAACATTACTTCCTTTTTTTTTTTCCTTCTACCTTAAAGTGAAATTCACACTCGATTGTAAGTAACAATTTTTAAAAAGGCAGCGTGAACTGACAGAAATGGAAACAGAGCAGTTACACTGCACAGATATACACTTCTAATGTAACCTCCATGTTTGCCCAAACATCCCAAAGGCATGTGCTGAAATGCAGTAGCAATGCATGTGCACATATATCCTGCCAATTTTTGATTTACAATTAGGGATCATCTAATACTTTATCCTGTAGCTTGCTGAGCTTGCACACTATGTTCTCTTCACTCTTACACATCAGCTAAATCCTTCATGGGATGGTTTTCCACAGGCTTTCTCTTACACATCAGCTAAATCCTTCATGGGATGGTTTTCCACAGGCTTTCCTCTGGAAATCCTTGAATTCTCCAAAAATGATCCTGGCTCCCTGCAAAAAGCCGTGTTTCAAGGGGCTTGAACAGAATGTGAATTTTGGCAGACTCCATCCCAAAACATAAATGCCATTTCAGCCAACACCTAAAATGATTACCAGTCACTGTAACTACCATCAAGGCAGAAGACCTACATTGGATTGTTGCACTGGCGTGTTCGGAAACGAACTCCAGTTCCACAGGTTCGTGAACAGGATCCGAATTTTGTCCAGGGTCCCCAGTTGCCATCCTGCTTCAGCTGGTTAGCATTCTTCCACATGCAGTGACCTTTATAGCACCACTGAGAGAAATTGGGCAAGGAAAACAGAAACCAAACCAAACGTATAATCACAGTAAAGTTAAAAGTCTGCAGAGGTGAGCTCATGGGGCTAAGAAGGGATGTCTCAGAAAACAGATGGCAAACAGAGACTTTCCTGGGGGTCTCTGTACTCTGGGCCCTGCAGTGCCTGATCCCCCTCCTCAATAAGCAGCACTGCCACACCTGAGCCTGTATCCTTTCACTGGCAGATGCACAAAACATGTTATACTCTTTCCACTTGATTTAAATAATTCTTTGCTT